ACGTCACCTAACACATGGCTCTGCTGGCTGGCATTGCGCTGAGTGATCGGGGGAGAAGGAGGGTCATCCTGAACCATTCTGTAATACACTACAGGAAGTGTAGGGGGCGATATGACTTGCCCATTTTAAACCTTGTCCATTTTATGGCTAACCGCCAGTTCTGTAATGTCAGCTAATAAATGTCTGCGCTGGCCAGCATGATGCTGGGTGATTGTACGATGGCCCTCCGCATACTTTGTTAGCCCCCTTTTACCCTGTTCTTCAGTGGTCAGGACCCCCATGGACCCTCACAGAGCAGGTACTATTTGGGTGGTGGGTCATTCTCAGCACTGCAGTAACACTGACGTGGTGGTGGTGTGTTAGTGTGTGTTGTGCTGGTCTGAGTGGATCAGACACAGCAGTGCTGCTGGAATTTTTAAACACCTCAGTGTCGCTGCTGGACTGAGAATAGTCCACCAACCAAAAATATCCAGCCAACAGCGTCCTGTGGGCAGCGTCCTGTGACCACTGATGAAGGACTAGAGGATGACCAACACAAACTGTGCAGCAGCAGATGAGCTATCGTCTCTGACTTTACATCTACAAGGTGGACTGACAAGGTAGGAGTGTCTAATAGAGTGGACAGTGAGTGGACACAGTGTTTAAAAACTCCAGGAGCACTGCTGTGTCTGATCCACTCGCACCAGCACAACACACACTAACACACCACCACCACGTCAGTGTTACTGCAGTGCTGAGAATGACCCACCACCCAAATAGTACCTGCTCTGTGAGGGTCCATGGGGGTCCTGACCACTGAAGAACAGGGTAAAAGGGGGCTAACAAAGTATCAGAGAAACAGATGGACTACAGTCTGTAATTGTAGAACTACAAAGTGCACCTATATAGTAAGTGGAGCTGATAAAATGGACAATGAGCGTAGAAACAAGGAGGTGGTCAGAATGTTATGCCTGGTTGGTGTACATAGAAAGAGAGAAAGAGGGAAGAGAAAAAGGGGAGAGAGCGAGACTGAAAGAAAGTCTCCTAAAGCTTCTTGTTTTCATGTTAATCTGAACAGTGTTATCCCTGCCTAGGACTTTTTTTCCAAAGACTCTACCGCCCCACGCTCTGTTCTGATTGGGCGAGGCCCTGCGGGTGCGTAACGATCTTTCGGAGGCGTTCTTCGGCGATGCCGAGGAGCTCAGGGTCGCAGTGAGATTGTAATGAAAATGGAAAAGAATCCGAGCTGCTAATCCGCCCGAGGAGAGCCAAGCTGCTGAGACTAAACTCCGTCTAGACTGCTGAGGGATCGCAGATAACACCAACCGTTTTGGTCCTTCAGTGTGGAAAAGAAATGAAATGGCCTCCAGGAAGGAGGGTTTTTACAGAAATTCATTTCCGAGCCGCTCGGCTGGTCCTGCCGCTGTTAAGTTTCAATTACAAACTTCAGTGCTTACAATGCAAAACTCCTCCCTGAGCTGACACAGTCCTGAAAGCCTATGATGCATTTATTCATGCAATTACATGTTAAATGCTTGATTAGGCTGAGCGTAATAGCTCTGCTGTACCCCAGTTAGTATTGATTCATAAAGAGGGATCTAATGGACTTCACGGTGGAGAACTGCGGTGACGTTAGCTTCAACTCTGCTACAGAGAAAGTTCAGGAGTTTTGTAAGTGTTCAGGAGCACTGAAACTGGAGTGAGGCAGATTAGACACAGCTATGTACACTCGTTAAAAGATGGTTCTTCAAGGCTTCTTTAGTAAAGACAATGTTTCTATATAGAACCATGAACACACAAAGAACTATTTGCCTGTCTTTTTGAAAAGGGATCAGTTTAGCCCAGGAGTCGGCAACATGTGGCCCCGGAGCTGCGTGCAGCTCTTTTACTGCCCTGTGGCTCCACAGCTGAATCAGATTAGTAGGTAAAAATAAAATAATCCTCCTTTACAGTAAAATAAAGCTCTGCTGATCGTTCAACACAGTTTAACAATAAATGGTCTTAAACTCTGGAGTTAATGTAGAACTGCTAATTCACCCTTTAACCCTGAAGATCAGCGCAGACTGCTGGTCACCATAGCAACACAGACAACCATCTCGCCTTAAAAAAAGCTCTTGTAAAAAAAAACTATATTGAGAGACATTTTACAAGAAACTTCTACTTTTGAGGAAATGTTTCCTGCTGGAGATGCGAGAAAAGCAGCTATAGCTGAGCTGAAGCTGAAAGCAGAGCAAAGTAAGACTGCGTTTTCATTTATATTATATTTTTGTCTATACTAGAACTTCAGCACATACTGAGACATATTTACAACCAAGATGGCAAAACGTTACTTAAATAAAATGGACGTAAAATGTTGTGGCTCCCAAGGTGGTTTGAGGACAAAATGGCTCTTCTTAACATTTGGGTTGCGACCCCTTGTATAGCCAAACAGGGTTCTTCGATTGTTACAATGTCAGGCTTGTAAACAATAGAACAACTTTTTCGGTGCTATAGAACCATCTACAGCACATTCTCCATCAATCTGAAGAACTCATTTCACCATGCAGAGGACCATTTAAGCCTGCAATTGGTTCTTTGGGTGTTCATGGTTCTATATAGAACTGTTCCCTTTATTAAAGAACCCTTGAAGAACCATCTTTTTTACTGAACTTCTAATATGAAGGTGACAGAAGAATCTTTGTGTTTTAGTTTTGTTGACTCGTCCAAAATCCACACAGAAATGGTTGCAGAACCTCAGAACCAAAGCTTTGCAGTGGCCCTCTCAGTCTCCAGCTTTGAACCCATCTGAAAAGCTGTGTTGTTGTCCACAAGGGGGCTGTCCATAAGCCAAGACCCAAGAATATCAAGGAACCGGAAATGTTCTGCATGGAGGAGTGGTCTAAGATCCCTTTAACAGGTGTTCTCCAACTTTGTTAAGCATTAAAGAAAGTGGCTTAGTGCTTTTATTCTCACCAGTAGGGACTTTTATAATAGGGGTACCAATATTTTCAAAACATGTTTTTAAAAAAATGTATTTCTAAAGAAAACTTTTTTTTGTTCTGAAACAGTGTAACAATAAAAATATGCAACCCATTTGTTTAAGCCCAAAATATCACTCGTTTCATGCATGGTTTATTTAATATTTTCATTGTAGCTCAATTTCTTAGAGAATGCTAGTATTTCTGTATTCTGGATTGCCACTTTGTCTGACGATGGGCTGGTTAGGGTCAGTGGACAGAATTTTGTTAAGGTCAAGTCCACATTGGAATCAAAACTTGATGCTGTTTGCCGGGTTGAGATTGAATCCGATATGACTTCTACTGTTTAATTTAAAAAGCCTCTATAATGTTCGCATGATCCACACAGTCACTCTGACAGACTGTAATACTCTACAGGAAGTGTAGGGGGCGATATGGCTTCTACTGTTTCATTTAAAAAGCTCTATAATGTTCATATGATCCACACAGTCACTCTGACAGACTGTAATACACTACAGGAAGTGTAGGGGGCGATATGGCTTCTACTGTTTCATTAAAAGCTCTATAATGTTCATATGATCCACACAGTCACTCTGACAGACTGTAATACACTACAGGAAGTGTAGGGGGCGATATGGCTTCTACTGTTTCATTTAAAAAGCTTCTATAATGTTCATATGATCCACACAGTCACTCTGACAGACTGTAATACACTACAGGAAGTGTAGGGGGCGATATGGCTTCTACTGTTTCATTTAAAAAGCTCTATAATGTTCATATGATCCACACAGTCATTCTGACAGACTGTAATACACTACAGGAAGTGTAGGGGGCGATATGGCTTCTACTGTTTCATTTAAAAAGCCTCTATAATGTTGATCTGATCCACACAGTCACTCTGACAGACTGTAATACACTACAGGAAGTGTAGGGGGCGATATGGCTTCTACTGTTTCATTTAAAAAGTGCTCTGTAATATTCATATGATCCACACAGTCATTCTGACAGACTGTAATACACTACAGGAAGTGTAGGGGGCGATATGGCTTCTACTGTTTCATTTAAAAAGTGCTCTACAATGTTCATATGATCCACACAGTCACTCTGACAGACTGTAATACACTACAAGAAGTGTAGGGGGCGATATGGCTCGTTGTGTAGATTAGATTACTGTTAGTAATAGGTGGAGAATATTGCTTTGGTTTCCAGACAGTTCACAAACGCCAAACAGTTGGCTTCACATTAGCTTCCTTGTTAGTGGCAGCCTCATTCACTTTCACGTCTCGCTGTAGATTAAAGGCTTCACTTCAGGAAAGCCTTTACTCGTTATAAACAGGCAGAAGTGTCTACAGCAGGTCCTCCGGGTGCAGATGAGCTGTGCAGTGGGAGGCAGATGTGAGTGTGCTGTATGTTTAAGTATTCTATTACATGCCCCAGATGTGTGGTATATTTAAGCAGTGGGGCCTGAGAGAGAGAGTGTGTGCTACCACGGCAGTAATTCGGTCACAGGCACCAGTAAAGTAGATCTAACAGGGCAAAGTTAAAGGCAAACTCCTCTAATTTTTCAAAACTTCCACATAATTAACTGGTTACGATGTAAACAGAGTCGGTTCAGAGTGGTTTGGTGTGAAACGCTCTGTTCTAGAGAAACTTACAGAGTCAGAACTGTTCACAGTGGTGGTGATAGGAACCAGACGTCCACCTCTAAAAGCTCCTCACAGATGCATTGTTTTATTATTTTTTTGTGATAAACTTTTGGCTTAAAACATCTTATTAGTCCCTTTATTTGAATACATTCATGGTGGAGGGCATACATGCAGGGCGTTGTGAAGCAAAATAGTCCTCAAATGAAAATGTATTATTTGTAATGTATTATTTCAGATTTTCCATCATCGACATTCCATATAAACTCAGAAGACTCGTGTAGGTTCACTGGTGGTTCTGGATAGTAAATAAAATGTCTATATTTGTGTTGTAGTCATGGCGACCCCCTTAAGATGGTCAGGGATGTTAAGGCCGGTGCTGAGACTTTCGGAGCTGACCGGTGTGCTGCTGTGTGTGCAGGTGGACAGGACGGAGGTGATCCGGAGCTGCATTAACCCCACGTTCTCCAAGGTCTTCACTCTGGATTATTACTTTGAGGAGGTGCAGCGGCTCCGTTACGAGCTCTACGACATGAACAGCAGCCACAACGGCATGAGGGAGGTCGACTGTCTGGGGGCCATGGAGTGCACGCTGGGCCAGGTACATGCCCACCTCAAACCCTTAAACTCTGTCTGCCAGGGTCCTGGACCTGGATTAAGCCTCATCGTGGACTAAACTCACACTTGGATTCCTCCCTCTCATAACTACAGAACTGAAACATTAGTTTCATAGCAGGTATTTGTATATTCTGAATAATTCATAGTAGAGCCTGAATAATTAATAGTAGTTACTGAATAGTTCATAGTAGTTACTGAATAATTCATAGTAGTTACAGAATAATTCATAGTAGATCCTGAATAATTCATGGTAAATACTAAATAATCCATAGTAGATCCTGAATAATTCATAGTAGATACTGAATAATTCATAGTAGCTACTAAATAATTCATAGTAGATACTGAATAATTCATAGTAGATCCTGAATAATTCATAGTAGTTACTGAATAATTCATAGTAGATCCTGAATAATTCATAGTAGATCCTGAATAATTCATAGTTGCTACTAAATAATTCATAGGAGAGACTGAATAATTCATATTGCTTACTGTAATAAGGAGTAGATACTGAATAATTTGTTGTAGATACTGTATAATTCATAGGCATTTCTGGATAATTAATAAAATACATAAAAATAGTAGACACTGGACTAACTTTGTGGTTACTATAGTACAATATACTATTTAGAGAATAATTAATAGTAATTATTGGACAATCCAGAGTAGAGACTGAAAATGGTCACAAACAGTATGTACATTCTTTAGAAGCCACTATTCTTCTTCTGTGCCATTGTCAGCATACAAATATGGCATATGAATATGACTCATAGTGAATATTGCCAAATCAACCAGGCGAACTGTACCAAACCTCAAACTCAGAGACTCTCAGCAGCCTGAAAGTGTGTGAGCTGTCAGCTAGACAAGATGTGAACTCAGAGAGAGCGGAGAGTGTCGAGTGTGTAGAGAATGGACACCATATTGGTTTTATTTTTGTCATCATTCTGCTTTAGCCTTTCCTTTTACTCTGTGTTCCATCTGTGTAACAGTTTGTATGCATTATTAAACACTTTCTTTGAAGTTCTTTCTAGAAGTTCAGCTTATAAAAAAGGTTTGGCATTTTTAGACTCATTTACAGCACTGTGCAAAATCAGTGACAACTCTTTAATTTCCAGTCAAAACCACCACTAAAGGGAAACTCCGCCCGTTTTTTCAAAGTTTCTGCATATTTAAATGGTTACAATGTAAAGAAAGTCATTCAGAGTGGTTTGGTGTGAAACGCTCTAGAGAAACTTACAGAGTCAGAATTGTTCACAGTGGTGGTGATAGGAACCAGACGTCCACCAGTGTGATAATAAGTTTTGGCTTAAAATGTATTTGAATCCACATATTGTAATCCATTCATGGTGGAGGGATACATGCACAGCGTTCTAAGGCAAAATAGTCCTCAAAGAAAACTTATTATTTCAGATTTTCCACTATTTTCCATCATCAACATTCCATATAAACTCAGAAGACTCGTGTAGGTTCACTGGTGGTTCTGGATAGTAAATAAAATGTCTATATTTGTGTTGTAGTCATGGCGACCCCTGGTTCCTATCACCACCACTGTAAAGACATCTGAACCATTTCACACCAAACCACTCTGAATCTCTGAACTATGCGGAGATGTTGAAAAGTTGATGGAAGTCCTCTTTAAGTGCACGTTATTGCTGCTGTTCTCAGAACAATGGACTGACCACCCCAGTGTCCAGACCTCAACACCACTGAATGTGTTTGATTACTTCAGGAAATCATCAACCAGCTTCTAAGACTGAACTTTGGAGGTGAGTCTGCAGATTCTTTGAGGAACTGAAAGTGAGTCTCCTGTAAAGAATGGAAAGCTGGAATGAAGGGAAAGAATGACTCACTGAACACTCAGACAGCTGAGAGTAGATTTAGCTGTTGAGGCTTCTGGGAAATTTCCTAATGGCTGGAAATAACAGAAGGGTGGTCTCTGACTTTTGCACAGTGCTGTATTTTTGGCTCAGTTAAAGTTTCACTCTAGAACTCTGGAACCTTTTAGGTTCTCCTACATTATAGCAAAACGTTCAGAGTGGATCTAAAGAAGGTTAAATGAGTTCTTCCTGAGTTCTTCGCCTGTCTGGAGTGTGGGGCACGGTTCCCGCTCCTTCAGCACGCTCATACAGTTTATTGCTTTGTTTATTAACATTATAATGAGAGACAACAGGGTTTTTCAGTCTGTTTGTCCATTCCCACACTAAACTGCCCGTCATTCTGATCCAAACGTTCTGATATTGTCTGTTCAGTCAGAAATTACAGAGTGAAATTACCCACATTTGGCCACATTCGTAACGACACAAGTGCTCAAACAGCCGTTTAGACATTGATTTGTCCTTTAGTGCTGATAGAGATGCCCACCCTGGTGGTGTGAAACCTGCTCCCCTCTCAATATTCGCTGTATATGGAGAGACGAGCTTTCACAGATCGTGGTGCCAGATGGCTGGTTTGGCACTCTCGGCGTCTGTGTAATAAACGCCAGCATTCACTCTGTTTAATATTCACACTTTTCTAGGGCCGTCACTCTGAGCAAGTCCACTGAGCAGGCGTTTACTTATTTAAGTGAAATGTGGTTTAAAATAGAAGTTTGGCCCATTTACATGTGTGTTTATATAACTTCACAGGACCGTTTAGAAGTTTGGAGTTGGTGATCAAAAGTCTAGATTCGGCCAATCTGGCCACAGATAAGCGAATAACATAACTGTAATGTGCGGTAGAACTTCACAGGTTTCAAAAGATCGGTATGAACCCTACACACTTAAAAAAAATGGTTCTTTAAGGGTTCTTTTGTAAAGGCAGTGGTTCTATATAGAACCATGAACAGTCAAAGAACCATGTGCATGCTTAAATGTTTCTCCACATGGTGAAATGTTCTTCAGATTGATGGAGAATGTGTTGTGTGTGGTTCTATATAGGACCTGAAAAGCCTTCTGCTGTTGTTACTACTTTCTTAAAAACCATTGGCTCTTCAAGCGTTCTTTAGTAAAGAAAGTGGTTCTATATAGAACCATTTGTATGGTTAAAAGGTTTTTTTGCATCATGAAAGTGTTTTTCAGATTGATGGAGAATGTGCTGTAGATGGTTCTATGTGGAACCTTTTTGAATGGGGTTCTATACAGCACTAAAAGGGGTTTTTGTATTGTTACTGGCTTGACATCAAAACTATAGAATAACCCTATTTGGTGCTATATAGAACCCTTTTCAAAAAGGTTCTCTGTAGAACCATCTATAGCACATTCTCCCTCCGCCTGAAAACTCTTTCATGATGCACAGAACCCTTTATTCATGCAGAGGGTTCTATGAGTGTTCATGATACTACACAACCATTTTCTTTGCTAAGGAACCCTTGAAGAACCATCTTTTTTATGATTGTAGTTTGACATCATAACAAAGGAACCCTTTTTGGTGCTATAGAACCATTTTCTGTTTCTCTGCCTACTTTGTCACCCTGTTCTTCAGTGGTCAGGACCCCCATGGACCCTCACAGAGCAGGTACTATTTGGGTGGTGGGTCATTCTCAGCACTGCAGTAACACTGATGTGGTGGTGGTGTGTTAGTGTGTGTTGCACTGGTCTGAGTGGATCAGACACAGCAGTGCTGCTGGAGTTTTTAAACACTGTGTCCACTCACTGTCCACTCTATTAGACACTCCTACCTTGTCGGTCCACCTTGTAGATGTAAAGTCAGAGACGGTAGCTCATCTGCTGCTGCACAGTTTGTGTTGGTCATCCTCTAGTCCTTCATCAGTGGTCACAGGACGCTGCCCACAGGACGCTGTTGGCTGGAAATATTTTTGGTTGGTGGACTATTCTCAGTCCAGCAGCGACACTGAGGTGTTTAAAAACTCCAGCAGCACTGCTGTGTCTGATCCACTCAGACCAGCGCAACACACCACCACCACATCAGTGTTACTGCTGAGAATGACCCACCACCCAAATAATACCTGCTCTGCAGGGGTCCTGTGGGAGTTCTGACCACTGAAGAACAGGGTGCAGAGAAACAGATGGACTACAGTCTGTAACTGTAGAACTACAAAGTGCCCCTGTATGGTCAGTGGAACTGATAAAATGGACAGTGAGTGTAAGTTGCTTATTGTGTAAGTTGCTTATTAGTGTAAGTAACTTATAATGCTACATTATAGCTAGCCCTGCTTAACATGTAATAACACATTCTTAATAACAAACATAGCAAAATGAAAGTTTTTAGATTCTATAATTCATTGTTTTCTGATATTAATATTAATTTATTAGTCTTTTTGTTTGCCGGTCTCCTGTTTTCTTCTCACATTGCTCGTGACTGTTTGTTTTGGTTGCAGGCCGATACGAGAGCGTCTTTATTTTAATGAGGGTGGGCTGATAATGCCGAGGACTCCCCGTTTCCTTAATAACATGTAACTGCAAGCGTTTATTCATAAACGAAGACGTTTTCGAGGCATAATTACAATCTGGTTTGTGGGCCAGAAGCCTCCGAGTTAGATGCGCACACAGTTTGCCTGCCTCTCTGTGCGTAATTGTCCTTCTCTCTGTGTTTTCTTTCTCTTCCACTCCTGGCAGCGCTCTGAAGTTTCCTCCCTGGCGTCGTTCCTCTCCAGAGCCGCGCGGGTTTCTTTTCACCGCAGCCGCGCTTTGCTTTCTAAAGTGGCACCGGAGTGACAAAAGTGACGCTTTCCTTGTGTCTTATCTGTCTCCAAACAGATTGTGTCCCAGAGAAAGCTCTGCAGAGTTCTCCTCAAACAGAGCAACACGGTGGGGAAGTCCATGATTACGGTACAGTATCCTGCTGTTCCCTCGTTTACGTCTCCTCAGAGTTCACTGAGTTCTCTTTTCTGTGCAGAGTTAGAGCCTCTCCTGCAGGACTGATGTTCAAAGCTGGTCTAAACCTGCTCTTACACACACAGGATTACCAACCATTTTGCAAGGATGATGATTCTGTTAAATAGAAATGAATTTAAAACAGTGAATCGCTGCGCTTTCTTTAAACTCAGCAAGAATGGGCTTCTCTAAGTGATTGATGGAAAACTGAACAGTGACAACGCCTTAAAGGGGCCATATTATGGACGTTGGGGGTCCCGGGTTGGCCCACTTGTTGGTCTAACAGTTCTGAAAATGCTCTTTTCTAGTTTGGTAATCCATTCACCAGGGGTCGCAACACAAATGTTAGGAAGAGCCATTTTTTCCTTTCCACTTTGGGAGCCACAACATTTTATGTCCATCTTACCATCTTGGCTGTAAATATGTCTCAGTACATGCTAATGTACTACTATACAACAGTTAGTTCCGGCCACGCGAGCTGATTGGTTGAGAAGCGTTCTAACTGTGCTGTTATTTCACCATAACATCACAGGTTTTTCACAAACACTGTATCGCTCCGCTGAGACGCCGTTGCTAAGCAACGACTTTGACAGCTGTAGGAGACGCTCAAGACATTTGAACGTTTTTACTTCTTACTTTGCCACAAACAGAAAACGGACACTTTTAAGATCACATTCGACCGACAGCCGATTTGGTCAGACTCTGAAGATGAGACGACACTAAATTCCCAAACTGTCGTCACCACTGAGCAGCTTTTCAGTCGGCAGCTGAGACAGAAGAACAGCTAAACAACCTGGAATCAGCCAGAAATGAACCCAACACCATTCGCCAAACTAAATGGGCTGTAAGATGCTTTACAGACTGGCTGGAACAAAACAACATTAATACTGATCTGGAAAAAACTGACAAAACTGAGCTGAACTTGATATTGCGGCTGTTTTATGGCTTACAGCAGACTGAGCAGCGAGTGGGCGGAGCTCGTTACTCTGACGTAGCAACAAGCTGCTTGTTAAGGAACTATAATTTGGTGAAGGAACTGCTGACATTAAACCATATTAAACGCCGCGTTCACGGCCCAGTTTATTAATTTATTACTGTATTTATTTAACTGTTGTATAAAAGCGTTAGAACACTCGAGGAGTGTGTTATTGCGAATATTATTATGAATGTTATTTGGCGATAACAAACTTCCTCTCGCCTTCCGTTGCTTAAGTATAGGACGAACATCGATAATTAGGAGACGAATGGACTTATTTGCGTTTATAATCACTCCATCTGGTTTCCTGATATGTTTAATCTGCAGCGAGAAACTGACAAACACTAAAAACGACGAGGCTGAAGTCAGTTTCTCATTCGCCAGCTTGTTGTTCTAACTCTCCTGTTCCAACTTAAATGGTGCAGCAGTTACATTCTGGGACATCAGGCACCATATAAAGTGTAATGGGAAAATCGGAAGAAGATGCTGGAGAATGAGAAGCGACTTCAGCCTCGTAAAGAGTTTAAAAATATTTTAAAAGAAACTGTTTTACTTTTGTGGAAAAGTTTCCTGCTGGAGATGCGAGAAAAGCAGCTATAGCTGAGCTGAAGCTTAAAGCAGAGCAAAGTAAGTCTGTGTTTTCATTTATATGATATTTTTTAGCCTTTACTAGCACATTAACACACACTGAGACATATTTACAGACAAGATGGTGAAATGGACTGTTGTGGCTCCCAAAGTGGAAAGAACAACATGGCTCTTCTTAACATAAAGGTCGCCGACCCCTGGCCTGGTTCAAAGGCCCTGCTGACTAACTGGGTGTCCTGAGTGAAATCCGAACCTGACCCGAGCCTGACACTCATTCGAGAAATGATGTCCTGAGCAGACATAAGCAGTCGATCTCAGTTCTTAAATATACTCCATGCTCTGAAATCTCTGTCCTGGTCGTCTTGTTGGCCGGAGAGTAAATGCCGTTGTTGCTGGTCTGTAAGCCGTAACTCTGCCGTTCTGCTGAACTCTGTGCTGCTGGTGTCTGTGCAGATCACCGCTGAGGAGCTGACGGGGAACGATGACTATGTGGAGCTGTCCTTCAGTGCCAGGAAACTGGACGATAAGGTGAGTTAGGCTGCCTCGTTATTCTGACCCTGTGTGACACTCTGCTATGTGTAAACACGTCCGTCAGAATCCACGGAATCGAGTTTATTGCTGAAGAACTCCACACGGTTGGAGGAGAGTGTGTGGTGATGCAGGCGGGCAGTTAGCACCACGCTAATCGGTGAGGCATAAGCTTCTGTTACTTGTTAGCTGCATTAGCGTTGTAGCTCCAGAGCTAAAACTAAAGACCCAAACTTCACACTAAACAGGTCTCGGCTGATCGTAAGTGTTGGGGGTTGATTTGTGATCACTTTAATCAGGCGTTTATTGAGTTTTAGATGATGTTATGATGCTCACATTAACATTCATACAAGCTGGAAAGAGGCAGAGAGAAATAAAGAGAAGAGAGATAGAGAGGGAGGGGAGAGAGAGAAAGAGAGAGAGGGAGAGGAAATAGAGAGGAAGGCGAGAGAGACGGAGAGAGAGACATTATTGGCACAGGGATGAAAATGACAGAAGATGAGAAGAATAAAGGAACAGAGAGAGAGGAACGAAAGGGGGGAGGGAGCAAGACAGAAAGAGAGAGATAGAAAGAGAGAAGAAAGGGAAAGGAAATGGAAAGAAAAGAGACAGAAAGAGGGAAGGAGGGAAAGGTAATAAAGAGAAAAGAGAGAGATGGAAAGAGGAAGAGGGAAAGGAAATGGAGAGAAAAAAGGGAGAGATGGAAAGAGGGGAGGGAAATGCAGGGAGAGAAAGAGAGATAGAAAGAGAGAAACAGGTCAAGAGGAGAGGAGGGGAGAGAGACAGACAGAGATTGGCACAGGGATGAGAATGACAGAAGATGAGAGGAATAATAAAGGACAGCAAGGGAGAGAGGAAAGAAAGCAGGGGGAGAGAAAGAGAGAGGGGGAAGAGAGATAAAGAAAGAGAGAGGGAGGAGATAGAGAAAGAAGGGGGACAAAGAGAGATAAAGGGAGACAGGGAGAGTGAAGAGAAAGAGCGAGAGAGAGAGGTAAGGATGGGACAGGGAAACAGGGGCGGGTGGGAGAGAGAGAGAGAGATTGGCACAGGGATGAGAATGACAGATAAAAGAAGACAAGAGGGATAAAAGAAGAGAAAAGAACACAGAGAGAGAGAGCAGTGTTCCTCAGGGAGACTCTATCAGCTCTCATCAGATGGATAATTATGAGAGACTGAAATTAATAAGGAGGATTAATAGCAGCATAACAAACACTCAGCAGCAGATCCGTCTCACAGCGAGCGCCTCGCAGGCCACATCACCTCCTCTCCTCCTCTCCTCCTCCTCCTTTCATTTTCTCTCTCACTTCTTTTCTTCTCTCGCCCAGACTTAAGCCTCTCACAGTCAGAGTAATTAAAACTCATTCAATTAAAGCGCCCACATCCTCTCTCCCTCTCCCTCTCTCTCTCTCTCCATCTCTCCCTCTCTCTCTCTCTCTCTCTCTCCCTCTCCTTCTCTCTTCCCTTTTTCTCTCTCTCTCTCTCTCTCCCTCCCTCTCTCTCTAACTCTAACACTCTCTAACTCTTTCTTCTCTCTCTCTCTCCCCCTCCCTCTCTCTCTCCCTCTCCCTCTCTCTCCCTCTCCCTCTCGCTCTCTCACTCTCACTCTCTCATTCTCTCTCTCCATCTCTCCCTCTTCCTCTCCCCCTCTCTCTCTCCCTCTCCCTCTCTCTCTCCTTTTCGCTCTCTCTCTCTCTCTCCATCTCTCCCTCTCTCTCTCTTCCTCTCTACCTCTCTCTCCCTCTCTCTCTCTCTCTCTCCCCCTCTCTCTCTCCCTCTCGCTCTCACTCTCTCGCTCCATCTCTCCCTCTCTCTCCCTTTCTCTCTCTCTCTCTCCCCCTCTCTGTCTCTCTCTCCCTCTCTCCCCCTCTCTCTCTAACTCTCTAACATTCTCTAACTCTTCTCTCTCTCTGCTCTCTCTCTCTCTCTCTAACACTCTAACTCTTTCTTCTCTCTTTCTAACTCTCTCTTTCTAACACTCTTTTCCCTCTCTCTAACACTCTTTTTCTCTCTCTCTGTAACTCTTTCTTGTCTCTCTCTCTTTCTTTTCTCTCTTCCTAACAATTGTTTTAACATTCTCTATCTAAATTAGAGTGGGAGTATAGAGGGTGGGGTAAGTAGAGTCAGGGTGTAGAGTGGGGGTATAGAGGGTGGAGTAAGTAGAGTGGGGGTATAGAGGGTGGGGTAAGTAGAGTGGGGGTATAGAGGGTGGGGTAAGTAGAGTCAGGGTATAGAGGGTGGGGTAAGTAGAGTCAGGGTATAGAGGGTGGGGTAAGTAGAGTGGGGATATGGAGGGTGGAGTAAGTAGAGTCAGGGTATAGAGGGTGGGGTAAGTAGAGTGGGGATATGGAGGGTGGAGTAAGTAGAGTGGGGGTATGGAGGGAGGAGTAAGTAGAGTAGGAATATAGAGGGTGGGGTAAGTAGAGCTGGGGTAAGTAGGGTGGGGTTAAGTAGAGTGGGGGTATGGAGGGTGGGGTAAGTAGAGTAGGAATATAGAGGGTGGGGTAAGTAGAGCCGGGGTAAGTAGGGTGGGGTTAAGTAGAGTGGGGGTATGGAGGGTGGGGTAAGTAGAGTGGGGATATAGAGGGTGGGTAAGTAGAGTGGGGGTATGGAGGGTGGGGTAAGTAGAGTAGGAATATAGAGGGTGGGGTAAGTAGAGCCGGGGTAAGTAGGGTGGGGTTAAGTAGAGTGGGGGTATAGAGGGTGGGGTAAGTAGAGTGGGGGTATAGATGGTGGGGTAAGTAGAGTGGGGATATGGAGGGTGGGGTTAGTAGAGTGGGGATATGGAGGGTGGGGTAAGGAGGGTGGGGGTATGGAGGGTGGGGTAAGTAGAGTCGGGGTGTGGAGGGAGGGGTATAGAGGGTGGGGTAAGTAGAGTGGGGATATAGAGGGTGGGGTAAGTAGAGTGGGGATATAGAGGGTGGGGTAAGTAGAGTGGGGATATAGAGGGTGGGCTAAGTAGAGTCGGGATATGGAGGGTGGGGTAAGTAGAGTGGGGATATGGAGGGTGGGGTAAGTAGAGTTGGGATATAGAGGGTGGGGTAAGTAGAGTGGGGATATAGAGGGTGGGGTAAGTAGAGTCGGGGTGTGGAGGGAGGGGTATGGAGGGTGGGGGTATAGAGGGTGGGGTAAGTAGAGTGGGGGTATGGAGGGTGGGGTAAGTAGAGTTGGGATATAGAGGGTGGGGTAAGTAGAGTGGGGATATAGAGGGTGGGGTAAGTAGAGTCGGGGTGTGGAGGGAGGGGTATGGAGGGTGGGGTAAGTAGAGTGGGGATATAGAGGGTGGGCTAAGTAGAGTCGGGGTATGGAGGGTGGGGTATGGAGGGTGGGGGTATAGAGGGTGGGGTAAGTAGAGTGGGGGTATGGAGGGTGGGGTTAAGTAGAGTCCGGGTATGGAGGGTGGGGTTAAGTAGTGTGGGGGTATAGAGGGTGGGGTAAGTAGAGTCGGGGTAAGTAGAGTCGGGGTATGGAGGGTGGGGTTAGTAGAGTAGGAATATAGAGGGTGGGGTAAGTAGAGCCGGGGTAAGTAGAGTGGGGGTATGGAGGGTGGGGTAAGTAGAGTGGGGATATAGAGGGTGGGGTAAGTAGAGCGGGGTAAGTAGAGTCGGGGTATGGAGGGTGGGGTTAGTAGAGTAGGAATATAGAGGGTGGGGTAAGTAGAGCCAGGGTAAGTAGGGTGGGGTTAAGTAGAGTGGGGATATAGAGGGTGGGGTAAGTAGAGCCGGGGTAAGTAGAGTCGGGGTATGGAGGGTGGGGTTAGTAGAGTAGGAATATAGAGGGTGGGGTAAGTAGAGCCGGGGTAAGTAGAGTGGGGGTATGGAGGGTGGGGTAAGTAGAGTGGGGATATAGAGGGTGGGGTAAGTAGAGCCGGGGTAGTAGAGTGGGGGTATGGAGGGTGGGGTTAGTAGAGTGGGGATATAGAGGGTGGGGTAAGTAGAGCCGGGGTAAGTAGAGTGGGGGTATGGAGGGTGGGGTTAGTAGAGTGGGGATATAGAGGGTGGGGTAAGTAGAGCCGGGGTAAGTAGAGTCGGGGTATGGAGGGTGGGGTTAGTAGAGTGGGAATATAGAGGGTGGGGTAAGTAGAGCCGGGGTAAGTAGGGTGGGGGTATGGAGGGTGGGGTAGTAGAGTGGGGATATAGAGGGTGGGGTAAGTAGAGCGGGGTAGTAGAGTCGGGGTATGGGGGTGGGGTTAGTAGAGTAGGAATATGAGGGTGGGGTAAGTAGAGCGGGGTAAGTAGGGTGGGGTTAGTAGAGTGGGGGTATGGAGGGTGGGGGTTAAGTAGAGTGGGGGTATGGAGGGTGGGGTAAGTAGAGTGGGGATATAGAGGGTGGGGTAAGTAGAGTGGGGGGTATGGAGGGTGGGGTAAGTAGAGTAGGATATAGAGGGTGGGGTAAGTAGAGCCGGGGTAAGTAGGGTGGGGTCAGTAGAGTGGGGGTATGGAGGGTGGGGTAAGTAGAGTGGGGGTATAGATGGTGGGGTAAGTAGAGTGGGGATATGGAGGGTGGGGGTATGGAGGGTGGGGTTAGTAGAGTGGGGATATGGAGGGTGGGGTAAGAAGGGTGGGGGTATGGAGGGTGGGGTTAGTAGAGTGGGGGTATGGAGGGTGGGGTAAGAGAGTGGGGGTATGAGGGTGGGGTAAGAGGTGGGGGTATGGAGGGTGGGGTTGTAGAGGGGGGTATGGAGGGTGGGGTAAGTAGAGTGGGGGTATGGAGGGTGGGGTAAGAGGGTGGGGGTATGGAGGGTGGGGTAAGGAGGGTGGGGGTATGGGGTGGTTGTTACCCACTGTCTCTCAGGTGGTGTCCTTGCATATTTAGCAGCGGGGGGGCTGTGGGGGGGCTGTGAGTCCCTCTCCAAGGAATATTCATTATTTCTCCAATTGTGAACATTTTTCAAATTTGGATTAATTTGTTGAATCTGTTTGTGTAATTTTCTCGTATCGGTTTGAATTTTTCACAGTGAAGAAGCGTCTCTGTCTCGACCTCACCTGTCAGACACTGACCACACAGCCTCTTGTCTCTGGGCAGCCAGGACTTTTTATACCTGCCCTGTTCTCTCTCTCTCTAACACACTCCAACTCTTCTCTCTCTCTTTCTAACTCTCTCTTTCTAACACTCTCTCTTTCTTATCTCTCTGTCTAACTCTTTCTTGTCTCTCTCTCTCTAACACACTCTTGCTTTCCTATCTCTATTCTCTATCTAAATATTCTCTCTCTCTTTCTGTCTCTGTCATTCCAGCTCTCACTATCTCTCTCTTTTTCTCTTTATTTTCTCTCTGTCACTCTCTCTCTCTCTCTCTCTCTCTGTCTCTCTCTCTCTCTCTCTCTCTCTCTCTCTCTCTGTCTCTCTCTCTCTCTCTCTGTCTGTCTCTCTCTCTCTCTCTCTCTCTCTCTCTCTCTCTCTCTCTCTCTCTCTCTCTCTGGTGTGTTGAGTGTCTGTGTTGCTGCGCTGTGTAACCAGCTCCTCCTGTTCTGTATTCAGAATATTTCTGATTCATTATTCTGAACTGACCCTAAATGATGTCCTGGTGAGACGTGATGTTTAGTGATTCTCTGAATGGTCAGTGCTGAGTGGTGCTGAGTGGGCTGGGCGATTACAGCCCGGCGGGTTTAGTCTCAGCGTGAATGCGCAGCTCTGATGTGTTCGGCGCTGTTTGAGTAGAGACTCGTCCCAGCAGGACCGCCGAGCTCCAGCTCAAACCTGCAGTCATCAAAAAAACATGAAGCCAAACTCCAGCACTGGAACATCCTCAGAAACGACATTTCTGATAAAAGGATCTTGAAAGAGAAGGAATTGTTTTTTATATTTTGATATCTGTCTGGATATTCCCCACCGTTCTGCATTATTGATTAGTTTCAGGGCATCAGGGCCGATACTTCAGTTAAAACGATGTAGCGGGCCTGACGAGAGCGCCGTTTGACTCTCTTCTGTGGTATTAATTGTGTAAAATAAATAGAAAAATGAGGGAATTTGAGCTTATTTTATTTTTTTCATAAAAAATGAAACATAATGCAGTATATTTCTGTAGATCTGTGCTTGTATACATAGAGGATGCTCACAGTAGATTAGCACACATTAATACTCTGTCAGTCACTCTGTAGCTAACTGCACGGTTGGACATCTTGGGACGTATCTCATTTCTTTATCTTGCATCACAGAGAAAAGATTTTGGTCAGAAATGGGAGATTATAGTGCATTAAATTGTATTAACAAAAGGTAAACCTCCAAAACCCTCCAATCACTGCTTAGCAGCTGTTGCTATCCGCCATTGCATCAAGCCTTCTGCACGTTATCAGCTCCCGTCATGTTTGTTAGTAGCGTTAGGACTCCAAGCTCCTCCAGCAGCGAGACTACACAATGCCCAGCTGTGGTTTGACCATAGCTTGATTAGATTTATATGTTTATCTCTGTACGAGACGCTACGCTAACGCTATCCAGAGCGATCAGCTGTTCAGCTACGCAGCAGACATAAGTTACTGTAGGCTAACATGCACCACAGCAGTGGTATATAACTGTGGGAGTTTATGGGAGTAATTCACAGATTATGCATGTAAAATGTAAACCTAAAGTTAGAGAAATATCAGCTGATCGCCGACCTCATATTTGGGCTGAAAATGGGCCGATGCCGATACATCGCCGAACGATCCTCCCATCTCTGGCTTTTACAGTGAGGACTGAGAAGTAAACGAGAAACCGGGACAAGCAGAGAGACAGAGAGAGGTACAGGAAATAAAATCAATGTGAAATTATGACCTAAAACAAAGTAGCTCTCAACCTGCATTTTCAGCAGCGTTTTCAGAAAACATTTTGCCGTCGTGGCGACACTTCAGCGCACCATGTTTAGGTTTTTAAGTTTGCTGTGTCGTTTTTCCTCGTCTTTGTACGTCTCAGCTGTCAGATTTCAACTGAACACTCGTGTCGTCTTTGTCATGCAAAAATCGCTGCTGTTGGTTATTGAAGGGACGTGTTGGTCGGGTTTATGTGACCAGTCGGGCAGTCTGGTTGATGTGACCTGACAGTCTGGTTGAGGTTTTGTATCAGGGCGGAGGCGTTTGGAAATAGTGTAATGATGACTGCTTGGAAAATTCATCTACCGAGTCGGCCCACCTGCTTTTTCACAGGCCTGCCCAAAAATGTGTTTACGCCTACGCCACTGATATTAATGGTGAGCTTGTGCTGCAGTAACAGCCTCTACTCCCCTCTACTCTCCTTACTAGGATTTGATTGAGCATTGGTGAGGTCAGGTGCTGATGTTGAATGGTCAGTTCTGGATCACTCCAACTCGTCCCAGAGATACTGGATGGAGCTCCATCACTCCAGAGGACACAGTTCCACTGCTCCACATGCCAATGCTGGGGGGCTTTATACCCCCTTAGACCACGCTTGGCATTGGGCGTGGAGACCTTAGGCTCATGTGAGGCTTCTCTAGAGCGTCCCATTCTATTGGGCAGTGCTTTTCTGTGGAGATGATACAAGCTGAATGCCTGAGTGTCAGCTATGGGTGACATTAGAGTGACTATCCAGACAGTTTTGGATGGTAGTGTATGTCCAGACCACACACCTTTCACGTACTTACCCTGTGCCTCACCGTGGAGGGTCTGGCTGAACACAGTGAGTTTTCAGACCACATTTCTATGACGCCGCTGGTAAAATACAGTCACTTAAACAAGGCAAACCTTTTTTGCTGTAAGTATTTCGAATGTATTTGAATTAAACATGTTTCTTGTATGTTTGTGTTCCCTACAGGACTTTTTCAGCAAGTCAGATCCGTTTTTAGAAATCTACAGAGTGAATGACGACGGCACCCAGCAGCTTGTGTACAGGACAGAGGTGAGCGATCTCACGTTCACAGTCTGGTCTCAGAATAGAGTACACCGCCAGTGGGGATTCCTCGTTGATGATCTGTTTCAGGGGCTTATTTTTCAGATAGAGGCTGATTGGAGTGCTTCATTAAACTGTGTATGGAGAAAAGCTGTTTGAAAACCTCTCGTCTTAAGCCAGGCTTCTTCTGTAGCTTGACAACAGTGCATTTTAATCCAGGATTAAGTCTAAACAATGTCTGGACTGTTGGACTGTGGTCTGTAAATTTGTGCATGTGGGCATTCCTCCATCCAACCTTCATAGCTTTGCTGGATCAGACACAACAGTGCTGCTGGAGTCGTTCAGAGTGGTTTGGTGTGAAACGCTCTGTTCTAGAGAAACTTACAGAGTCAGAATTGTTCACAGTGGTGGTGATAGGAACCAGATGTCCTCCTCTAAAAGCTCCCTCACAGAAAGTTACTACAGGAAATGGTTATGAATTCACTGCCTGATGACTGAGACATAATTTTACAATACTTTTTAAAGGTTTAAAAAAATAATTGGGATTCCACTTTATTATAAACGTATGTTGAGTTGTAATAGCATCACATTCCTCAATGTCTTTTTTCTTATTATAACATCTAAAGAGGTGTTAAGGGTTAAGGCAGGATTTCCGAGAGATGCAGACCTCAATATCAGCTGTTTTTACAAGTGAAACGACATATTGGTGGAGCCCTAATGGTCAGTGTCCTCTGTTTCTGCCCACAGACTGTGATGAACAACCTGAACCCAGTGTGGAAAACCTTCAAAACCTCCCTGAACTGTCTCTGCAGCGGAGACCATGAGAGGATACTGAAGGTGAGAGAGCGCACATCACTCACTGATTATTGAGGTGAGAGAGAGAGCTTACAAAGGCTTTGTCGATGTGACTCATGTTTGGCATTAGAGCTGTTGTCCTGCAGTCGTGTGGTATAACCACCTCATTCCGAACATCCAGTACACTGGACCTTCTTGTTCCTCAGGTATTTTAGCTCTGTAGAAGCAGGTTTGCCACCACACTTACTTTGACGTGTTTCTGCTGAACTCATGGCCTCCGAGACCAAATGAAACAGTTTCTGAATGATCCTGTCTTTATAGCGCTGCTAGAAAGTTTGTGAACCCTTTATTATTTATAATTTGAATTTTTACATAAATGTGCACTTTATTTGAAGGGTGTCTACATAACACATTCATAACATCTTACATAATCACTTCATAACATCTTCATGAATGTTTCAATTAACATTTATAAAGCATTCGTGTTTTACATGATATTAATGTGGACTACTGTGAGAGACATTTTCCAAAATAAAAGCCCTCATTTTTTAACATAATTATATTTTGAATGTTATTTTCAGTGAAACACCTCATTGCTGGCCAATGCAGCCAAAATTAAAAAGACCTTTTTTTTTTACCCCTTTGGACATTTAGTGCTTTGACACTTTGGCACATTTTGCCTATACTTTCAACTTCTTTTTAATTATTTGTTTCTTCTTAAGCATTTGTATGTTACACTCTAGTATTCTTTACTATACATTGTTGAAGAAAACGTTATTTATCCTAAGTTTAACCCTCTTGAGGTTAAATGTTGGCACTGTTAGTGATGTTCCTCCTTGCTTGTTGTATTGGAGAAACCACAAGTATAATTGTGCATTCGTTATTCCATGTAATTGACATTCTTTGAGGCACTTTTATCCCAAAGACCGATAAATATCTGTTTTGTCTTGACCTCAAAAGTGATGGAAGCTAAAAAGACTGAAATGCATGTTATCTGGATCTTTAAATTGCAATGCAAAGTAGTCGCTTACATTCATGTGGCTGTCCAGCATCTACAGGGAATGGATGAGTATTATGGCCTGTAAAATTCTTCCCACCACCACACTAAGATTCTGTCCAACGATTGTTCATAGCATATTTATGAGTAATTTGCTGTCCATGTAGTAAAATGACTTGTGAAGCAACAAATGGTTAAGATAAAACAAATAATTAACGTAAACATACGTGAAACATGCCTAATTGTCAAAGCACTTAATGACCAAAGTGAGGTCTTTTTATTTTGCCTGTCCAAAAATAAACTTTTTCAAAATGAAAATGAGGACTTTTATTTTGAAATCTGTATCTCAGTAAAATGACATACTAGTCCATATTAATATCATGTAAAACATGTGTACTGTTGATTGAAACATTCATGAACATGTTATGAAGTGATTACGTAAGATGTTATGAATGTGTTATGTAGACACCATTCAAGCAAAGTGCTACCAAATTTGATCAGATCTTCATTTAATTCATAACAATAGATAAAGAGAACTTTGACTAACCATTCTTTGTAGACCAACTGGTGTTTTTAGGGTTGTTGTCTTTCTGCAGGGCCCACCTTCTGTTGAGCTTCAGTTCACAGATGGATGGTCTAAAATTCCCCTGTAGAATTTCTTGATATGGTCCAGAATTCATAGCTCCATCAAATATGACAAGCTGTGCAAGTCCAATAGCAGCAAAGCAGCCCCAAACCATGATACTGCCACCACCATGTTTCACAGTTGGGATGAGGTTCTTATGCTGGAATGCAGTGTTTGTTTTTTGCCAATCAGCTCTCATTTAAGCTTTGAAGATCCATTTTTTGCCTAAGTTTTTTTTTTTGAGTAGTGGCTTTGTACTTATATAATACTCTTGTTTGTTTGCCTGATGGTGGACATGTTTATTTTCATCAAGATAACAGACCCAAACAAAAAACTGAACCCTTCCTGTGTTTCAGTGATGTTATTTCTGACACACAGACACCTTATTTCAGCTGCGACACTGAGTGAGCGCAGATGTTTACCAGTGTTGTGTTTACTGTACTGTGTGTGGTTGTTTGTAAACAGCACTCCTGAACAGCCAGCGTCCTGTCAGTAGAGCTGTGCTGCGTAGGAGCCGACGTAGTGACAGTGTTGTTTGTGAGCTGTTAGCAGGCTGATAAAGGACAGCTGCTCTCCTTTCACACCTCTCTCTCTCTCTCTCTCTCTCTCTCTCTCTCTCTCTCTCTCTCTCTGTCTCTCTCTCTCTCTCTCTCTCTCTCTCTCTCTCTCTCCTCTGAGTGCCTGATCAGAGCACTGCTGCGTCGTCGCACTGAGCACTGTGGGAATCTCCCAATCAGCACAGAATCCACTGGACACACAGCGAGCCTTTACTTTTGACTGGGTGACAGACGGAGAGATAGACAGACAGACAGACAGATAAATAAACAGACAGACAGATAGACAGAGTCCGATAGATAGATAGATAGATAGATAGATAGATAGATAGATATATGGACACAGACAGATAGACAGATGTACAGATAAATAGACAGACAGGTAGACAGTCAGATAGATCGACAGACATACAGATATATAGACAGACAGACAGACAGATAGGCAGTCAGACTGATAGAGAGATTTACAGATACATAGACAGATGTACAGATACAAAGACAGACAGATGTATAGACACAGACAGACAAATAGACAGAAGTACAGATATATAGACAGATAGACAGTCAGATATAAAAACAGATGTACAGATATACAGACAGACAGTTATATAGACACAGACAGACAAATAGACAGACAACAGGTATATAAACACAGATAGACAGTCAGATAGATGGACAGATGATCAGACCGATAAATAGATGGACAGACAGACAGCTTTATTTATCCAGCGTGCTGGATGAGTGTGCGAGTGTGTGAACGTTTAGAGAGATCAGACGAGATGTTCTCCCTCCTCCTTCTCCTCCTCCTCCTCCTCTTCCTGCTCTCTGCTGGCTTCTCCAAACTCTGCTGAAAGGCTCCCTGTAAAAGCCTCTTTTGAGCTCCGCGGTGCTTCCCGTGTTTTTAATAGAACGTCTTTATGAAGGTGTGAACAGGAACAGCCTTTGAAATATAATCATAAATAGCCGAGACACTCACCGCCACTCTGGATTTGCTGCTGTTTGTCAGGGCATGTTGGGTTGCCATAGCCTCGGCTTATTAAACCTAAACCCTTCCACCTACCCACCCCCTCTCCATCTGAGCTGCTCTGTCAGACACGGTTACCACGGCGACTGGCTGGCAGGAGCCTAGCGATGAAGTCCTGAAGGTCCTGCAGGAGCTCTGTGGAGATCCGAGGCCTTCCGCTAAGTAAGAGCAGCTGTGGGTGAGGAGAGCCTCGCTGGTGTGTGATGGCCTGACTGTTCACCTTCCACAGAGCCGAAATGAGGTGGCAGGTCTTTTCCCATCAGTGAACGGACGAGCTTAAAAAAAGGGATTTTCTCTAAATTAGTTTCCTCGCTCGCTCTCTCTCCCACGTTTGTGCTGAAATGAATCTGGTGGGTGTGTAGCCCTTCCTGTCCCTCTCTTTCGCTTGCCGGTGGATTCACCGTCTCACATTCAGCCCACTCAGCCGGGATTGAGGCTGATTAACGCTCGGCTGGCTCGGAGCCGGTCCCTTCCTGCAGGGGCGTAATAGTTTGTTCATAACTGAGAGCCAGAAATAGTGAGGTGTCTTAAAAAGTGTTCTCTTCAGTTCTGCACACTTTTCTGTGACTGCAGTGGACACATTGGGCATTTTTCATTTTTCCACTGCACACAAACTGTGGCCTCCACTCCAGGGCTGAACGGTTCATTTTTATTGGCACGGTTAGTTAACCGTACTCGGGGCCACAGAACCATTTGGTGGCATTGGTTCTATGTTTTTTGTCGTTACTGTGCCACCGTTATTTCAAACTTGAAAACAATCCCATAAGCTCAGTTTGCTCACACGGACGGCAAATAAATGAAAGCAGTGCACATTTTAAACCCACCATTCTGTAAATGTCAAACTTCAGTCTAACACAATTTCTAAATACTAAACGACGCTGATAACCAGGAGAGAGTAACTGGTTAGCGTTAGTTTAGCTAGCAGCTCTGCTCACCACAGAACAGGTTTGATTCTGACTAACAAAAGCTTTACTGACACAAATATATGATTATGACTCAAATCTGAGGAAGTGAAGTCGAGTGTCTGATGTCAGAGGGACAGAAAGCCGAAATTAAACCTGTTCTCTGGTGTCTGGAGCTGGAGCCTCCTAGCTTAGCTAAAGAGATCCAAACCCCCCAGTGCAGGTTTGATTCGGTAACTCTGCTGTCACAAGTATAGGTGGTAAAAACGTACGACAGCGAGAGCAAAGTCAGCTGATTGATGGTGGAGTGACAGAAAACTGAAATCCAACTGTTCTGTAGTGGTTTAAGCTGTAGCCTGCCAGGTAAAGCTAACCCGAGTGAACGGTGCCTCCCACTGCAGTACAGGCTCGGTTCTTGTGAACCGATGAATAAAAACACCCGTTTGGAGGATAAAGACTCGTATCTAAAAGCACAAATTCGAATGACCGGTGTTGAAGTGACAAAGATGAAAAACAGAATTGTTCTGTGGTGCTTTGAGCTGAACCCTGCTGGGTGACGCTAACACTAATGTAGTTATCCGGCTCCAGGTGAAACTCACCACAGTTCAGGCTGTTTCAGTAACAGATGCTCAAATAACCCCCTGTTTAGAGGATAAAGAAGATGAGAGCAGCTGAGTCTCAAGAGTCCAGGCCAGTGCGGAACGGCCCAGTACGGCCCTGAGAACCATTTGGCTCGTTAGTGGAAAAGCGGCCCTTGGTCCAGTTCAGTGGGTTTTTGGCACCTGCTTTTGACTTGCAGCAGCAGGATCTGCTGGTTCTCAGGGATTTCTTTGGTAGCACTTGTCTTGTAGGGCCAGATGTGATCTCATAACAAGTACATGTCTGCGGACAAACATTACATTTTTGGAGCTGATTGTGGCAAAATCTGCTGCTAACAAGG